TCACAAAAACATCCCTTAACTCCCATATTTTGAGGAAATAAATTTATATGAAAAATTCCCTCGTAATTTTTGGCAAGGAATTGTTAAAGTTTTTTGGCAATACAAAGAAACACAATTTATAATTATTATTTTTAGTCAGAAGCAACAGCAGAGACTATATATTCTGAGTGCAAATGGTACCTACCGAAATTGCGACATTTGCGAAACGATTTCCTGATTATGATGATGAGGAGTCAGGATGGTGTTTCTATAAGGGCTGCAAATTATCACGTCATTAATAATAGAACTGTTCTACTAGTAAGTAAAAATGATCAATAGTTGTTAAAACTCTTTTACTATAATTCTATAATTCTAAAAACCAGAGGAAAAATTCGGATTGTTCCGTCATATACAGGGTTGTTGAGATGTATGGAAACGGTCGATTATTTCCTAAAGTAAGAAAACTATCGAAAAGTCATAAGACAAAACCTTTTATGGTTTGTGAAATACATGTCCCGGAATTAGGGGGAAATATTTCTACAGGGTGTTCTGTCGAAAATATTCTTTATATAAACATAGGTGCAAAAATTCTTCCTAAGGAAGTTATAGCCACTTAAAGGGGTCACTCTGATGATGGTTTTTTCTAAATAATTCCGAAGTCAGTTGAGATAAATTTATGCAATTTCGTAATTAGCGTAGCTCTTACGTGCTCAGTTCGCTATTAAAACGAAATTTACAAATTTTTGTCACATACGTTATAATACTGGTGGGGAGGGGGGTAAAATTTACGATAACTTTTTATGCTTTGACTTTTTTTACTTTTGACTGAAAAGTATGAAATTTCAGAGTTTTTTAGTAAAAAACAGTACTCTTGGTTCAGATTGGTAAAATGTTCCATTTTTGGAAAAATGTTTTGTTACATGTGATGTACACATGTAACATTATTTTTAAACAGATTTTACACAAAAATGGAACATTCTACCAATATGGACCAAGAGTACCTTTTTAATAATTCTTCTACACGTACGAATTGAGCTAGTTACCAAATTTCATAAATTTATCTCAACTCTTTTTCGGAGTCATTTAGAAAAAACCATCACGAGTGGCTATAACTTCATTAGGAAGAATTTTTGGACCCACATTTATATAAAGAAAAAGTAATATTTTTGACATAGAACACCCTGAAGAAATATAGCCCCCTTACTTCGGGACCCCCTGTATATTACAATAAAGAAAAATTAAGTATAAAGAATCAGTCAAAAAGTCATGACGATACTCCTGACGAAACAAAGTTGTTTATTCTTTAATGGAACACCCTGTGTATTATTCCATATTTCAAACCTTCTCGAAATTCTAAACAAAATCCATATAGCACTTCATGTAACTAAACTTTACCGTTTTCGAGATATTGAACTCTGAAAATCAGTTTCTCATAAATTTAGTCCACTAAGTTTATAGTCCATCAAATTACTTTTGAAAGTTTCTAACTCCATAACAACGCCGGGTCCTTCTTTTTTCTAATAGTGATTATATTGACAATACATGTCAAAATTACATACATTTAGTATGAATAATTTTCTCGCAAAAATGACACAGTTAAGTGAGACCGAGCGTTTTGAAGTTTTAATGATGATAGGATATGGTGATAGAAGACGAAGTTGTGACGAAGTAGTGGATATTTTTCATGAACTGCACCCCGATCTGGGACGTATTTCTAAATCAACAGTTTTAAAAACATTGCAGCATTTCCATGAAACTGAAGGTGCTCATATTTTCTTCAAAATTAACTGATGATCGCTATCACTATTTTATTATTAATTATTCTGATCTCCTGGAAGGTTTGACTCTGATAACGTGACGATCCTTATGAGTGATGGGGTGCCTCCTCAATTTTAATCTAACTGTTTAGGAGTACCTTAATAATAATTCTGTTGGACTTCTATTTTTGGGGTCAACCATAGAAAAGCACCAGGATGGAACAGTAGATTCCTGTAACATTATTCAATTGTTTTTAGACCATAGCATTTTCCCCCAGAACTAAACTCCAAATAGAAAAATGTTAAGCAATTTCAGATAACGAAAGAGGGTTCCAAAAAATACCCACAAATCTGAAACTATCAGTGGCCAACGTATATTTTTATTTAATTGAATACTATCGTCTACCTGCCCTGGGTGAGGTGATTAAAATTTAGTCTACAGTAAATCATGTTCTCTAATAAGCAGGTTAACTGCAGGAAATTTGAGAAAAATAAAGTTTCAATTATTAAGATTAGAAAAACAAAAAATTCAACGTCCTGCATTTCAGTGAGAATATATTATTGGGCATGTGTTAATATAACTTATTTTATAAAATAATTAGAAGAAATATTCTAGACTACTTCGGAAACATCCAAAGTTCTTACACAGTCAGTACACAATTTTTAAAAAGTTTCTATAACATTTATAAATTGCTCCTATAATATATTCCCATTAAAATTCAATTAAATTAAGCTAGTACTACGTTATATAAAAAATGCATATCTTAATCTATAATTTTTATTGCAGATAATGAAAACTGCTTACAGCTTTTATACTTTTATGCAAAAAGTAGCATAAGCCAAGAGGGAGTTGATCGGTTAATTTTGCACAGAGCACTCAGAGCAACATTTCAATGCACTTGCACTCGAAGTATGTATTGTTGACATGCACAGAATTTTCCAGTGAAATCTGGAGCATTAAGAAATAGTGGATATTTTAAATGTACAGGGTGATTCAATAATAATTGTACATGCGCTAACTGGATAACCCTGGGTTAAAAATATATGAAAAATTGACAGATAAAATATAGGTTCTTACAGAGTTACAGGGTGTTTTATTTAAAAAATTTTAAATGATTTTTGCCCATTACTTTAACCCTGTTTTATATTTCCTATCATACTTGACATAAAGTTTAGATACTTTAGAACATATTAAAGAATGCTACAAAATCGTTCATACCAGAGGCGCACGACAGGGGAAGAGAGGCAGTTTCCTATTCCTAACTTCTACGCCACTGGCGGAATTTTTATTTTGGTATAATTTTTTAATATACTATTCTTTCATAGCGGTAAAGTCATTATTAAAGTTAAACGTAGAGCTGCACAATCATTTTTATTTTATTATTTAATTTATTTGTAATATTATTATTATTATTATTCAAGTCGGTATCTTCTGTCCTGGGATTGCATTACATTAGTTGAGTTATGTTTTATAGTTACAGTTTATTATTTAAATCATTTAAAATTTTTAAATAACTCCGTAAGGAGATATATTTTATCTAAGAATAATGTGTCAGTTCTTCATATCTTCAGTCCAGGATTATCCGACCAGCGTACGTACAGTTATTAATGAATAACCTTCTATATAATTCTTTACCCAATAATTAATAACACAGAAATTATTTCACACAAATCAAGCACTACTGTTATTATATATTCTAAGAAAACATGTAAAACACCGTAGTCTATCTACTCATATTAGCCCAATTAAATAAGCCTTTATATCGAAATGTTGGTCAACTTGCCTGAATTTTTGATATGAGTTAGTTTGAGATATATTATAACAATAAGTGACAGTAATTTTTTGTTCTACCCTCGGCCAAGGGTGAAAAAAGATAAAACAAAGGCGTTTTTCAAGATAACTCAAAAGCGGCAAGGGCTAGAAAAAAATGTTTCTTATAAAAGTTGTAAAGCATACAATTCTCCATAAAAATGGCATCTTGACTTTTTCTTGTANTCACAAATTCGACAAGCTCCTGCAATCCCAAATACAACAACAACCTTGGCCATTAAATAAACTTCATCAGGAGCATTATTTAAAAAATCATTAATTTGTATAATCGTAAAAATCGCAGATTTCTTGGGCGTATAACCTTTCCCATTTTGTTTCAGAAATGTAATTAGTTTGAAATATTTTGAAATGTCTATATTATTATTGGATTTTAACATACTTTTAATCATTGAATAATTCGACCACACTGTTTGGCTTTTGTTGTTGTGCCAGTTCCACAAAAAAAACCAATAACACCGTCTCCGAAAAAGAATTGCATATCTTTTTCATCTTCCATTCCATAAATTTTGAATACGCGGTTTCGTAAATTTTCCGCGATTTAGCTGGCAATAATTTTTGTGACGCTACTTTCGCTGCTTTTACTAACTCCGGTGGAGTCAGAGAAAACTCGGAACCAGACATTTTTTAACTTTATATTATTCAAAATAGCTACTAAACAACCACTAAGTTTGCAATTTTTAAATCAAATCACAGAATTAAATTGACAGATATTTGATTACTTCAAAGGTTTCCTTAGCAACGCAGATGTAATTGTCGCTATAAGTATAACAGCCTACCAATTTAAAACTTTAGTGACTAATATATTGTAATAATGTTTTTTCAATATTAAATCGTTGTTTTTCCCGTCACAGAAAAAAATAGTGTATTATACACGGGAAAAAAGTAGATTTTACCTTTCGGTTTTTTGTCTCCCTCCGCTTCGCGTCGGGAGACAACACAACCGCGAGCTAAAATCTAGTACTGTTTCCCTTGTATAATAAATATCTATTATTTCATTGAATATTACCGTCTACATGCCCTGGGTGAGGTGATTAAAATTTAGTCTACAGTAAATCATGTTCTCTAATAAGCAGGTTAACTGCAGGAAATTTGAGAAAAATAAAGTTTCA